GCAACTGGTGATGACTTCCCGTGTACAGTAACAATGTAAGCTCTGATAAGGGACGGCCATGATGGGATACTATATATATGTGATCTGTTACACATCAATAGCAGCTGGTGATGGCTTCCCGTGTACAGTAACAATGTAAGCTCTTATAAGGGACGGCCATGATGGGATACTATATATATGTGATCTGTAACACATCAATAGCAGCTGGTGATGACTTCCCGTGTACAGTAACAATGTAAGCTCTTATAAGGGACGGCCATGATGGGATACTATATATATGTGATCTGTAACACATCAATAGCAGCTGGTGATGACTTCCCGTGTACAGTAACAATGTAAGCTCTTATAAGGGACGGCCATGATGGGATACTATAAATGAATGAATGAATGAATGATCTTTATTTCCTCCAGTAGCTTCGGAGAGTGTTTCTACATGTATGTTTAATGTTATTTGTTTAAAGTGGTATGTTTAATGACATGTGTTTTCATTGGCATGTTTAATGTCATGTGTTTGTAAATGTGTGCATGGTGTCATGTGTTTCTACATGTTTGTTTAATGGCTTTTGTGTAATGCCAGGTAATTTTTTTTGCAGGTCCTATGATATGTTCAGTCGACTTCACAACCGTAAACAAGGTAGGGTCCGGATGGCTAGCATTCTTCGTTTTGACCACTGCCGTCCTGCCCTTTGGTTTCATTATCATTGTGGCCACAGTCACCATTGTCCAGTGGCGACATATTCCTCTGGACGTATCTCGCATTGACTGTGTGCGTGCTGTCCGGCTCCTTGTGGGCTCGGGGATATGTGCACTGCTGTATTCTCCGTACTTCGTTGTGAACATTGTTAACTCTTTAAAGATTTACATATCACCGCCAATCCACGAGATTGTACTCTTCATCTATTACTCGTGTTTCATCGTGCCTTGTGTCATGTGTGTTGATAGGAACTCTTTGAGGAGACCGTCCACAAACCGCTTACCTCCATCCAAAACAGGTAGTATGGAGGATATTGAGTTCCAGTTACTTCAGACAGCACAGATATGATTTGTGATGAGAGTGATTTGTTTTGAAGACCCATGTTCTAGTCGGCGGCTAACTCACGTGGAAGCAACATATGTTGTCTTCAACACCGACAAACCCCTAAGGAGGTACGCTTCGTTGGCATAAACAAGGGAGCAGAAAGACGAAATCCAGTCACATCATTCACCACTTCAAAACCCGACAGAACCCCTTTCATGTTCTAGGATCAATACAATTGTGTTGTGGAAGATTTGAGATTATACAACTACTTGTATGCTAATCGAACCAGATCTCAAGGCCAGTGATGAGAGAACTCGACATACCCCCACACAGAAGTCGAACGGGGACAATCTGGAAAGTTAGTCGTTGTCTGTTTGACAGCGTGTTGCATGACAGACTGGAATTACTCACTGCATGACAGACTGGAATTACTCACTAGATGCATGACAGATGGGAATTACTCACTGCATGACAGATTGGAATTACTCACTGCATGACAGAGTGGAATTACTCACTGCATGACAGACTGGAATTACTCACTGCATGACAGACTGGAATTACTCACTGCATGACAGACTGGAATTACTCACTGCATGACAGAGTGGAATTACTCACTGCATGACAGATTGGAATTACTCACTGCATGACAGATGGGAATTACTCACTGCATGACAGACTGGAATTACTCACTGCATGACAGACTGGAATTACTCACTGCATGACAGATTGGAATTACTCACTGCATGACAGAATTACTCACTCATGGAGAATTACTCACTGCTGCATGACAGACTGGAATTACTCACTGCATGACAGACTGGAATTACTCACTGCATGACAGACTGGAATTACTCACTGCATGACAGACTGGAATTACTGCATGACATGGAATTTGCATGACAGATTGGAATTACTCACTGGACACTGCATGACAGGGAATTACTCACTGCATGACAGGGTGGAATTACTCACTGCATGACAGATTACTGGAATTACTCACTGCATGACAGATTGGAATTACTGCATGACAGACTGGAATTACTCACTGCATGACAGACTGGAATTACTCACTGCATGACAGACTGGAATTACTCACTGCATGACAGACTGGAATTACTCACTGCATGACAGACTGGAATTACTCACTGCATGACAGACTGGAATTACTCACTGCATGATTGGAATTACTCACTGCATGACAGAGTGGAATTACTCACTGCATGACAGAATTGGGAATTACTCACTGCATGACAGACTGGAATTACTCACTGCATGATTACTCACTGACTGGAATTACTCACTGCATGACAGACTGGAAATACTCACTGCATGACAGATGGAATTACTCACTGCATGACAGAGACTGGAATTACTCACTGCATGACAGACTGACAGGGAATTACTCACTGCATGACAGAGTGGAATTACTCACTGCATGACAGATTGGAATTACTGCATGACAGATGGGAATTACTCACTGCATGACAGACTGGAATTACTCACTGCATGACAGACTGGAATTACTCACTGCATGACAGATTGGAATTACTCACTGCATGACAGTCTGGAGTTACTCACTGCATGACAGACTGGAATTACTCACTGCATGACAGACTGGAAATACTCACTGCATAACAGATTGGAATTACTGCATGACAGACTGGAATTACTCACTGCATGACACTGGACTGGAATTACTCACTGCATGACAGACTGGAATTACTCACTGCATGACAGACTGGAAATACTCACTGCATGACAGACTGGAATTACTCACTGCATGACAGACTGGAATTACTCACTGCATGACAGACTGGAATTACTCACTGCATGACAGACTGGAATTACTCACTGCATGACAGACTGGAATTACTCACTGCATGACAGACTGGAATTACTCACTGCATGACAGATTGGAATTACTCACTGCATGACAGATTGGAATTACTGCATGACAGACTGGAATTACTCACTGCATGACAGACTGGAATTACTCACTGCATGACAGACTGGATTATTACTGCATGACAGACTGGAATTACTCACTGCATGACAGACTGGAATTTGCATGACAGAATTCACTGCATGACTACCGCATGACAGACTGGAATTACTCACTGCATGACAGACTGGAATTACTCACTGCATGACAGACTGGAATTACTGCATGACAGACTGGAATTACTCACTGCATGACAGACTGGAATTACTCACTGCATGACAGATTGGAATTACTGCATGACAGACTGGAATTACTCACTGCATGACAGACTGGAATTACTCACTGCATGACAGACTGGAATTACTGCATGACAGACTGGAATTACTCACTGCATGACAGACTGGAATTACTCACTGCATGACAGACTGGATATGTGATCACATGAGGTAACGGGACGGCCGCGGCTTTGACACATTGACACATTGACACATTGAGGACAAACAGATGCAGCATTGCAGCAGATTGCATGACATGAATCTGTCATCGAACACTTAAAGGCTGTGTGATGATAGATGGTGGCGGACTGGCATGATGACATGGTTTTGCTTGATGACACTGTGACACCTGTTTTCACGTGTGCTTGATGGAGATGCGCCTCACCTGTGACACCTGTTTCACGTGTGCTTGATGAAGATGTGCCTCACCTATGACACTGATGTTGACACAGGACATGCACAGAATCCGACTGATTTATTCATCGTTTGCCATTCAGAGGAGACAAACTGGAGTGATTGTATTTTTAGAATTGCCTGAAACCATATTTTCATTTCAAACCGGATTTGGAATCGTACCTTAGTGTACTTAGCCGAATGGAACTCGGGAATGGTGTTCGAAATTTTTTTACACCGAAATATGATGTTCAGCCAAGTAGAAACAAAGTAACATTGAATAGACACACCATAGGATGTTCTTGACTGAGTCAATGGCCCAAGTTCTAGCTTGAACCCATTGTAGAATATATAAGTGCTGTGTCAATGTGTATCCCTATGAATGTCGGGTGTCAACAGAGCCTGGGCGTACTCCACCCTACGGTCTCTCAACATACACGATGTTATGTCATTCCAGCTGTTTATTGCTTTACCTTCAGAATTCTTCGTGCGGATATTTTACACAAACCAAACCCGCATGCCGAGAGATTTTTCAGTTATTTCGTTGATACGACAAGTGATCATTACACACTCGCATGGCTTCTGTACATATGCCAGATTGAACAACAACTATATTTCAAAAGTAGCGTCAAGAAGAGCCTGGTTGTGTTGTGTGTCACGTGAACATGTGAAACTGGTGAACCCACTTGTGATATGAAATGGTCCAAAATGCCCGAGATGACCGGTGGGATATAAGGTCAGCCGGGTGGATAAAAAGCGTTACCCCAAATACTGTGAGGAATGCTCACAGCGACCAGTACCACGACACGTGCATTGTCCCTCAACACGTGCATCTGAGGAGAACATCTTGGTTACATGTGGTCTTGGTATCGTGTGGAGACAAACGGGGGCCCTCATCACCAGAACCCAGACACGAGGAAGTCCTCTAGATGTTGTTAATGACGTGGATTGTACGCCAGTGTATTCGTGTGTTGACCCTGCTGATAGGAAGGTGTCATGTGGACACACATCAGCAGTACCCTTGTGTCACATAGCCTCTCGTATAAAATTAAGACAGACAATAAGAATAATTAAGCTCGATTGGTGGCCAGACAGAAGCAAACGAGGCATCTGTGTCCGCATGACCGCCTAATAGACCCTTGTACTCGTCAGAATAGATATAGGGTGTTGCAGTATATGTACAGGGTGTTGCAGTATATTACAGGGTGTTGCAATACATGTACAGGGTGTTGCAGTACATGTACAGGGTGTAGCAGTATATGTACAGGGTGTAGCAGTATATGTACAGGGTGTTGCAGTACATGTACAGGGTGTTGCAGTACATGTACAGGGTGTTGCAGTACATGTACAAGTGTTGCATGTACATGTACATGTACAGGGTGTTGCAGTACATGTACAGGGTGTTGCAGTACATGTACAGGGTGTTGCAGTACATGTACAGGGTGTTGCAGTACATGTACAGGGTGTTGCAGTACATGTACAGGGTGTTGCAGTATATGTGTACAGGGTGTTGCAGTATATGTACAGGGTGTTTCGGCACATGTACAGGGTGTTGCAGTACATGTGCAGGGTGTTGCAGTATATGTGTACAGGGTGTTGCAGTATATGTACAGGGTGTTGCAGTACATGTACAGGGTGTTGCAGTATATATGTACAGGGTGTTTCAGCACATGTACAGGGTGTTGCAGTATATGTACAGAGTGTTGCAGTATATGTGTACAGGGTGTTGCAGTACATTACAGGGTGTTGCAGTACATGTAAAGGGTGTTGCGGTACATGTACAGGGTGTTGCAGTACATGTACAGGGTGTTGCAGTACATGTACAGGGTGTAGCAGTATATGTGCAGGGTGTTGCAGTTACTGTTACGGTGTGACAGGTTTAAGACTTGGGTTCATTGTATGTAGATGATAGATATGGCATGTGTTGTTTTAGTTGATTAGGGCAAAGGAATGCCGAGATTCAGACTCCAAGCTCAAGGATTTTCTTTCTTGTAAAAATATACAGTTGCTGTGAAAAATAAATATTTTGGAAGTATCTTCATATCTTTGTTATATTTATTCACATATTGTTCAGGTTTATAATTTACAGGGGTTTTCCACTCCTGTATTAGTTGATGAAGTCGTTTGTTGTATATGCAGTTCCGTTGATGCTGGGAATTAAGAAATCACGAGGCGGTGTTGTGTAGGGGCGTGGCGTGGTGTGCTTTGGCGGTGTTGCGGGGTGTGGTCTGGTGTGCAGTGCTGTGGTTTGCGTAGAGCTTTGTGGCGTGGTATAGTAGCATGGTTTGGCGTGGCGTAGACTGATGTGGCGTGGTGTAGTGTGGTGTGGTGTGAGGTGAGGTGTGGCTTGGCGTGGTGTGGCGTGGCGTGGCGAGGCGTGGCGTGGCGAAGGCGAGGCAGAGGCGAAGGCGAGGCGAGGCGCAGGTGTGGTGTGGTGTTGCATGAGTGGTGTGGTGTGGTGTGTGGTGTGGGTGTATTGGCGTGGCGTGGCGTGGCGTGGCGTGGCGTGGTGTGGTGTGGTGTGGTGTGTCATGGTGTGGTGCGGTGTGTAGTGTGGTGTAGTGTGGCGTTGCATAGGTGTAGTGTGGTGTTGAAGTGTGGTGTGATGTAGTGTGGTGTAGTGTGATGTGACGTGGCGTGGCGTGGCGTGGCATGGAAGGACTGGTGTGTGGTGTGGTATCGATGGTACCACGATAGTAGTGTACTTTGGTGACCTTGTGATGTGGCGTGGCGTGGCGTGGCGTATTTTGGTGTGGTGTGGTGTGGTGTGGTGTGGTGTGGTGTGGTGTGGTGTGGTGTGGTGTGGTATCGTGTAGTGTAGCGTGGTATGGTGTGGTGTGGTGCGGTGTGTTGTAGTGTGTTGTAGTGTGGTGTAGTGTGGTGTGGTGTAGTGTGATGTGGTGTGGTGTGGTGTAGAGTGGTGTGGCATGTTGTAGAGTGGTGTGGTGTGGTGTGGTGTGGCGTGGCATGTTGTGGTGTAGTGTTGTGTAGTGTGGTGTGGTCTGGTGTCGTGGTACAAAGTAGTGCACTTTGGTAACCGTGTGGTGTGGCGTGACGTGTGGTATGGTGTGTGGTGTGGTGTGGTGTGGTGTGGTGTGGTGTGGTGTGGTGTGGTGTGGTGTGGTGTGGTGTGGCGTGGTCTGGTGTCGTGGTACAAAGTAGTGTACTTTGGTAACCGTGTGGTGTGGCGTGATGTGTTATGGTATGGAATGGTATAGTGTGGTGTGGTGTGGTGTGTATTGTGGTGTGGGTGTGTGGTGTGGTGTGGTGTGGCGTGGTATGTTGTGGTGTAGTCATTTGTGTAAGGTGTGGTGTGGTCTGGTGTCGTGGTACAAAGTGGTGTACTTTGGTAACCATTGTCGGTGTGGCGTGATGATATGGTATGGTATGGTATAATGTGGTATAGTGTGGTGTGGTGTGGTGTGGTGTGGTGTGGTGTGGTGTGGTGTGGTGTGTGTGGCGTGGCGTGGCGTGGCGTGGCGTGGTGTGTCGTGGTGTGGTATGGTGTGTTGTGGCGTGGTCTGGTGTCGTGGTACAAAGTAGTGTACTTTGGTAACCGTGTGGTGTGGCGTGATGTGTTATGGTATGGAATGGTATAGTGTGGTGTGGTGTGGTATGGTGTGGTGTGGTGTGGTGTGGCGTGGCGTGGCATGTTGTGGTGTAGTGTTGTGTAGTGTGGTGTGGTCTGGTGTCGTGGTACAAAGTAGTGTATGTAACCGTGTGGTGTGGCGTGATGTGTTATGGTATGGAATGGTATGGTATTGTGTGGCGTGGCGTGGCGTGGCGTGGCGTGGCGTGGCGTGGCGTGGCGTGGCGTGGCGTGGCGTGGTTGTGTCGTGGTGTGGTGTGGTGATTTGTGGCGTGGTGGTGTCGTGGTACAAAGTAGTACCTGGTAACCGTGTGGTGTGGCGTGATGTGTTATGGTATGGAATGGTATAGCTGGTGTGTGGTGTGGTGGTGGTGTGGTGTGGTATGGTGTGGTGTGGTATGGTGTGTTGTGGCGTGGTCTGGTGTCGTGGGTACAAAGTAGTGTACTTTGGTAACCGTGTGGTGTGGCGTGATGTGTTATGGTATGGAATGGGTATAGTGTGGTGTGGTGTGGTATGGTGTGTTGTGGCGTGGTCTGGTGTCGTGGTACAAAATAATGTACTTTGGTAACCGTTTGGTGTGGCGTGATGTGTTATGGTATGGAATGGTATAGTGTGGTGTGGTGTGGTGTGGCGTGGTGTGGTGTGGCGTGGCGTGGCGTGGCGTGGCGTGGTGTGGTGTGGCGTCGTGGTGGTATGGTGTGTTGTGGCGTGGTATGGTGTCGTGGTACAAAGTGGTGTACTTTGGTAACCGTTTGGTGTGGCGTGATGTGTTATGGTATGGAATGGTATAGTGTGGTGGTGATGGTGTGGTGTGGTGTGGTGTGGTGTGGTGTGGCGTGGTATGTTGTGGTGTAGTGTTGTGTAGTGTGGTGTGGTCTGGTGTCGTGGTACAAAGTAGTGTATGTAATTTGTGGTGTGACGTGATGTGTTATGGTATGGAATGGTATGGTGTGGCGTGGCGTGGCGTGGCGTGGTGTGTCGTGGTGTGGTATGGTGTGTTGTGGCGTGGTCTGGTGTCGTGGTACAAAGTAGTGTACTTTGGTAACCGTGTGGTGTGGCGTGATGTGTTATGGTATGGAATGGTATAGTGTGGTGTGGTGTGGTGTGGTATGGTGTGGTGTGGTATGGTGTGTTGTGGCGTGGTCTGGTGTCGTGGTACAAAGTAGTGTACTTTGGTAACCGTGTGGTGTGGCGTGATGTGTTATGGTATGGAATGGTATAGTGTGGTGTGGTGTGGTATGGTGTGTTGTGGCGTGGTCTGGTGTCGTGGTACAAAGTAGTGTACTTTGGTAACCGTGTGGTGTGGCGTGATGTGTTATGGTATGTGGAATGTGGTATGTGGTGTGGTGTGGTGTGGTGTGGTGTGGGTATGGTGTGGCGTGGTGTGGCGTGGTGTCGTATGGTGTGTTGTGGCGTGGTCTGGTGTCGTGGTACAAAGTAGTGTACTTTGGTAACCGTGTGGTGTGGCGTGATGTGTTATGGTATGGAATGGTATAGTGTGGCGTGGCGTGGCGTGGCGTGGCGTGGCGTGGCGTGGCGTGGCGTGTGGTGTGGGTATAATGTGGTGTGGTATGGTGTGGTGTGGTGTGGTGTGGCGTGGTGTGGTGTAGTGTGGTGTGTGTGGTGAGTGTGGTGTGGCGTGGCGTAGCGTGGCATGGCGTGGCATGTTGTGGTTTGGTGTGCTGTAGTGTGGTGTGGTCTGGTGTCGGCGTACAAAGTAGTGTACTTTGGTGACCGTGTGATGTGGCGTGGCATGGCGTGTTATGGTATGGTATAGTGTGCGGCGTGGCGTGGCGTGTAATAGTGTAGTGTGGTGTGTGGCGTGGCGTGGAGTTGCGTTGCGTTGCGGTTTGGTGCGGTCTGGTGCCGTGTGGTGCCATCTCCTCGATGAACTTCGCTCGATAGAAGACACTAAGATACTCAGGAGTTCCACCTTCAACCCAGGCAGAAGGTTCAAGGCCCACCCTCAACACACAATGCGTCGCAAACAGCCTAAGAATTGCATCCTCTGCAAAACTGCTGGCCGTCAAACCTTTTCATCACATAACCTCGTTGACTGCAGATTCTTACCAGACACTGACAAGAGAAGCTTGAGCCTCTCCGCATGATCATAGATGATGAGTTTAATGATGAACAGGCCTACACAGAGCAAGATGATCCAACAACTAGTGATGGGCAATCCAACCCTGATCCTCTCATAGACTCTCCAGCAGTTTGCCGTGTGGATGTTATCCAGTCCCCAGTGCTGTATGCATACTACTTACAACACCCTGTGAAACTTACACTTGACACAGGTGCCACCACAAATATGGTAACTGACTCTTTTGCCAAGGGCCTCGGACTGCGATCAAACCTGCTTCTAAGTCAGCCCGCCAAGCTGATGGCATGACACCATTGGAGGTACTAGGCGAGATACACTGTAACCTGACAAGAGGTTCACACATCTTCAAACTCAATGCTCTTGTTGTCAAGCATCTTGACGTGGATGTCATAGCTGGTATACCCTTTCAGTCATCCAACGACATCGCTACACGTCCTTCCAAAAGCCAGATAGTAATCAGAGGCTCTGAGGTTGTACATTACGGCAGCCTTCCTCACATGGATGCTTCCGTCAGGAGAACCCAAGCTTTCCTGCTTCGAGCTCCATCACACCGAACAGTGGTCTTACCTAGTGAATTCGTCGTACTAACTACACCAAGTGACTGTGATCCCGATACTCAATGGGCCCTGGAGCCAAGACTAGACAGTCCTTCTAACTCTGCCCACAAGTTCCAAAGAGCATAGCCTCCCCCACAAGTAATAAACTCTGTTGGCCACTCACTCAGAGTCACAAACAGTCTTGATGACCCTGTTGTGCTGAAGCGCAATGAACATCTCTGCCAGATCAGAGCCATAATAGCCTCTCCCACCAACATACCTGGATGTGCCAACATGCCTTCAACACCTCCCAGAGTACCGCCACCATATTCAGCAAATATCTCCCTAGACCCTGACAACTGCCTCTCCAAAGATGTAAGGGACAAATTTCTTGATCTCCACAATCAATTTGAAGATGTCTTCAACCCTACTGTTGCCAAATATAATGGATTCAGTGGAAACATACAAGCAGTTGTGAATATGGGACCTACACTCCCTCCTCAGAGGAAAGGAAGGCTCCCCCCATTACAACCGGGACATGCTTGTTGAACTTCAACACAAGTTTGATGAACTTGAGTCTGCGGGCGTGTTCGCTAAACCAGAGCAAGTGAATGTCTCTGTCGAGTACCTAAATCTCTCCTTGCTTGTTTGCAAGCCCAAAGGTGGAAGTCGTCTTGTCACCTCATTTGGTGAAGTCGGCCAGTACAGCAAACCTCAGCCCTCGCTCATGCCTAATGTTGACAGCGTAATACGTGACATTGGCAAATGGAGATTCATTATTGTGTCTGACTTACTCAAAGCTTTCTACC